CCTCCTTGGGTTTCAGAGGCAGTAAGGAGCTCTGGTAGCACAGTGCCTAAGGCACTTGACTGCTAACCAGAAGGTTGGTGGTTCAAACCCACCAGACACTCCTCAGAAAGAAGGTTGAGCAATCTACTTCTGTAGTGATACTGCCTCGGAAACCCAAGGAGTGGTCACTATGAGTCGGGTCCCACTCGACGGCACATAACAACAACAATCACTACTGATAGTAGATTCCCCAAACTTCCTTCCAAGGTGTGGCTGGTGGGTTTGAACCACCAGCCTTCTGGTTAGCATTCAAGTGCCTTAGGCACTATGCTACTAGAGCTCCTACTTTTAACATAGGCCAAAAAAAAGAACTAGGAATTATTAACTTGGCCTTGAAATATACAACAATTTGCATAATGTTTAACTAATTAATCTGTAGTAATCAATTTTACAAGAGTTTCACCACAATCTACTAAGTAAGCACAAGTAAACCCGTGCTTACCTTGCTTTTTGGGTAATCCACCCTGGTATCCTTGCACATGGGAAATGATGTGTTCACAGTAATTTATCACAGCATTTTAAAAGCAAAAGATTGGAAACAACCTAAATGACCATTAATGGGATAGTTATTAATAAATTCCAGCACATTTGCACAATGGAATATTATGCGACATGTTTTTTTGTTGTTGTTTTGTTTTGTTAAAGAGCAAGACTTATATACAATCTCCAAGATATATTAGCAGGAGGAAAAAGAAAAAAAGCAAGGTGTAGATCGAAGTGCACAGTGTACTTACTACCTTTTGTGCAAGAAGAAAAAGCAAGAGAAACATGATTGCATAATATATCTATGGAGGTATACACATCTCACGAAAAGTTTTGGTGGACAAAAGGAGACGCTGGGGCCGACTTACTCTTTTTAAACATCGAACGATATGGATGCATTACTTACTCAAAAATTAAACAGAAAAAATCTCTAAAGGGAGAAATTTTTGTTTTTGAAAGAGTCAAAATACGTGTTTGCTGGCTCCCCAACTCCATCAGTCGTGGTATATGGAGCAGAGCGAAGTTGCCTGGCAGTCGTCACCGAGGTGACACTTCCTAGAGCGGCCGGGAAGGCCGGGCGCTGATTGGTCGCTTGAAGTCCAGCCTTTGTTCGGGCCGCCCAGGGAACCACAGCTTTCGTACTTGTACCTCTCCACTCATGAGGTCTCTCCCGGTTCCGCCGAGGAGAAGAGAGGGCCAGGTCAACTGTGGTCAGCAGCAACCCACTCCTCACACCTGCTTGGGTGCTGGCACAGGATAACGCCCTCGCCCTCCTTCTACTCGACACATCTACAAGAAAGGACTCTGGCTGAAAGGTGGACACTGGTTGTGAGTTCCCTTGCGGAGGCTTCCTTCCTGACCCCTTCCCAGGTTGGCGCCCATAGCCCTCAACCCTTGAATCCTAAGGACACAAATCCACCCTGTGAATTTCATGTGGAATGGAAGGGCCTTTAAGAAAGCTGTTAATTCCTGGCGTTTATTTAGGGCTTACTAGTGCCAGTTGCTATGCCAGCGGCTTTGCATTCTTTCTCATTTAAGCCACACCACAATCCTTTGAGGAATGTATCATGAGAATTTGACAGATGAGGTCTGTTAACTCTAGTCTACATAAGTGACTTGCTCTAGCTCATACTGTAGAACCCAGATTCAAACCTATGTCCAGACTTCACTGTTCTTTTGTACTGCCTCCTATATGACACTATTTTCTCTGAGTCCACCTTGTTGGTTCAACTTCCTTAGTGTGTTCATGTTTATACCAGCTTTTGTAATTTCTCTATGGTAACATTTATGCCTTAGGAGTCTCTCTTAAGGCAAGATCGTAAGTGATTTTTTTTCTTGAATCAATCTCAGGGAATTAATCTCCTGAACAACGAAGCCCAGAATGGCCATAGCCCTGGAACCTGCAGAACAGAACGGACTTCTGGTAGTGAAGGTAGAGGACCATTCCTGGAGTCAGGACTCCATCTCACAAAAGAGCAGTCCTCACAGGAGAGAACTCTTCAGACAGCGCTTCAGGAAACTCTGCTATCAGGATTCACCTGGCCCCCGTGAAGCTCTTACCCAGCTCTGGGAACTCTGCTGCCAGTGGCTGAGACCGGAGTGTCACACCAAGGAGCAGATTTTGGACCTGCTGGTGCTGGAACAATTCCTGAGCATTCTCCCTAGGGACCTGCAAGCATGGGTGCAGGAGCACCATCCAGAGACTGGAGAGGAGGCAGTGACTGTGCTGGAGGATCTGGAGAGAGAGCTTGATGAACCAGAAAAGCAGGTGGGAAAGGGGCACTCATTTGGCTGGCAGTAATCAGAGTACATAGACCCAGCCAAAGCAAAAGCGTATGAAAGAACACCTGAAGGTATTTAAGATGTGTAGCTTATGGAAGGAACAATACTTAGGGAGAGCTCTAACTGCCAATGTGAAATAACTAAAGTATGATTGAATAAAGAGAAAAGACATTTGATTCTATGTCAGTTTAGAAGGCTAGGATCAGTGGAAAGATACAGGAAAGCAGACAGGTATGAGGGGGAGGGAGAATTTTCTAACATTTATATTGTTGTTGTTGTTGTTATATGCCATCGAGTCAGCCCCGACTCATAGCGACCCCTCCTTAGGTTTCCGAGGCAGTATCACTACAGAAGTAGATTGTCCAACCTTCCTTCCGAGGAATGGCTGGTGGGTTTAAACCACCAGCCTTCTGGTTAGCAGTCAAATGCCTTAAGCACTACGCTACCAGAGCTCCCTCTAACATTTATAGCCACCCATAAATAAAATGGCCTACCTTGGAATGTAATGAACTCCCTGTCCATAGAGGTTCAAGCAGTTCTCAAGGATATTATAGAACAGTACTACTGTCCAATAAACGTATAATATGAACCATATATATAATTGAAATTTTTGGCTAGCCATGCTAAAAAATAAAAATAGGTGAAATTAAATTTATTTTGTTTAATCTACAATGTTTAACCATGTATTCAATATAAAAATATGAACTACTTTACAGTCTGGTATTTTTTTGTTTTATAAATCTTTGAAATTTGATGTGTATTTTACACATACAGTATATATCAATGTAATATCTCAGTGTGAACTAGCCACAGTACAGTTATAGAAGTAATGCCCTCATTTCATAGAAGTTGGGGTAGATGATTTTAAGGTTTCCTCCAAGCCCCGAGAGCCCTGGTGATGACCAAAAGGTCAGCAGGTCAAACCAACCAGCCACTCTACAAAAGAAAGATGTGTCAGCCAGCTTCCTTAAAGATTTACAGCCTTGGAAATCCTATGGGGACTTTCTACCCTAAAAGGTCACTATGAGTCAGAATCAACTCAACACCAGTGGGCTGGGTTTGATCCTGGGCTCCAAGTTTCAAGATTATAAGACCCCGGACCTCTACAGGCCAGTGGGAGAGCTACTTTGCATTTATTGCTATTTGCAATTGAATGAGAATTTGTCCCCTTTCCTATGTCTCTAGCAGATGCTGCTTTTGAACTTTTCTCTGAAGTTTTCAGTTCCCACAAAATCTACCTTACAATCCCAATCTACCCTCATTATTCCCAGGTCTCAGCCAATTCAGAAAGACAGGACATATTCTTGGACAAGTTGGCCCCCTTTGGAAGGCCACATGAGTCACTAACTATCCAGCTCCATCCCAAGAAGACCCAGCTGGAGAAGAAATCCCAAAGGAATGGTAAGCAGCAGAAGTTTTTGAGTATGTGAGGGAAGAGGTGGCTACTTAGTTTAGAGAAGAGCTTTCTCAAATCCATCTTCTCCTTTTAAAGTTTTGCCTGCTTGACCTTTACCTCACTATGGAAGATTTTATCCCCCTTCCTACCTTTGCCCCACACTAAAAGAATTAATGCCTAAGGCATCTGACTGCTAACCAGAAGACTGGTGGTTCAAACCCACCAGCCACTCCTCAAAAGGAAGATTGAGCAATCTGCTTCTGTAGAGATACCACCTTGAAAACCCAAAGAGGGGTCACTATGAGTTGAATTGACTTGATGGCAGTAAGAGTGAGTGAGACTTAAAAGCTGCAATCTAGCCCAAAGAGTGTTGGAGGGAGTTGGCATTGGTTTTTAAATACCCTTTCAAGTTATGTGGTGATTCTACTTCCAAATTTCCTTAAATTTCTATTTTGAAATGGGAGACTTTATGAACATCCTCATATGAAAGAAGTAGGGGAGAGAAAGTAAGTGCAATAGGCTGTTTTGTATTTGTCCCTATCAGGTTAACTAGGTTCGGGTTGCGGTTAGGTCCCCCATTCTACTACTCAACTCACTAATTAAAAATCAGGGCATCTAATATATCCCCAGGCTACACAAAAAAAGGCAAATTTTAAATCCCTGTTTGCCCAAGCCTTACCCTTTTCAATGTTCCCTACCCTTTCTCTAGAGGCCCTCATGTCCACAGTACCTCCCCTAAGCAGGACATTACCTTCTGGCCTACTTTGAATTCCATTCTCTTTACTTAAAGTTTACCAGTATGGTTCTCTCATTTCAGGGACTTTGTCTAATCTGAAAAACTGTTTTGAGCTGAGATGTTTCTAGTTCATTTCTGCTATGTATAATTAAAGAGCCTTTCAGTGATTTAACTCTAGAGGTGGAGTGTTGGATATTGGTTGGCTTTAGAGGTGAGGTTGAGAACCTCCTGTTCTGTTCATTCTTTGCTCTTTCATTAAACATTTATTGAGCAGCAGCTATATGTCATGCTAGATGTAAGGAATGCAAAGATAAGATACTTGAGCTCCTCTCTTCAAGTAGCAGAAGGAAGTAAGCAGTTGCAATTATGTGTAATAATTACTAGAGATATACTGAGGAGCTATATAGTTGCACAGTGGTTAAAGCACTGGGGTGCTAACCAAAAGACTGGCCACCAGCCACCCTGTGGAAGAAAGATGAGACAGCCTGCTTTCATAAAGATATACAGCCTTGGGAACTCTATGGGGCAATTCTACTCTGTCCTGTAGGGTTGTTGTGAGTCAGAATTGACTCAATGGCAGTAGATTTTTTGGGTTTTTTAGAGATATACTGTGAGCTATGGAGAAAAGGACCACTGTCCTTATGGCAGACCTGCAAAAGTATCACAGGGTAGATTTGATTGAACTGAAATGGTTAAATGGATAGAAATTAGGAAGGTGACATTCCAGAGAGAACAGTGAGTCAAAACATGAGAATATCACACATTCTAAGAAGAACAACTTTTCTGAGTTTGATTTTGATATGACAAGATTTTGCAGAAGGAAAAGCAAAGACCAATTAAGATTCCTGAATGACAGGCTGAGAAAATGGAACCTCATCCAATCAGGTAGAGACCTATCTTATTATTTTAAATAGATGAATGGGTGACATATAATTGTGTTTGAAAAGATCATTGTCCATAATTGTTTTTAATTTCTATATAGTAGAAAAAAAAGATTAGAAGGATTCTCCAATGTAACCAGTAGTATCTCAACATAGTGAAATAGAGTGCTTCTCTAATTTCCAAAGTCTTTAAGTGTATGAGAACTCAACTGTAGGAGGGAGATAAGGTATAAACATGAGGCAGAGGGTGGAGCCAGGGGTACTCTAAAATATAAAGAAGAGTGGAGCAGAGGGGACAGGAAGAGAAAAGGAAAAATCAAGAGATAAGAAATATTTTAAGAAATAAAAGCAAAAGATATGATTGGATATGGTAGAGGGAGGTAGGCACTCTTAATATAATCCTAAATCTGTGGCTTAAGCCACTAGGTGAATAATGGTGCCAGTAATTGAGATAGGAAAACCAGAAGGGGGCATGTTGAACCAGTATGTTGATGTTTAAGAACATTTGTCCAAATAGTATGGGGGTGTCTATGATTTCCAACATTCACTCTAATTATTGCCCTAATGAACTTAGCAATACTTCTGTCACACATTATACTTTTCAGAGTGCTTTAATATACATTCTGCCATCTGATCATCCAAACACTAGGTAAAGAGAAGAACACAAGTGATAAAGAAACTGAGGTGGGTATCTGCCTAATTTTAAACAGTTATCACCAGAACCAGGACTAGAATCTGGACATTCTGGCTCTAATCTAGTCTTCATAATTTACAGCCAGAGATACTGGCATTTAGATATGTGGTATTTAGATTCCAAAGCAATATTACCTTAGAGCAAATAATCAAACTTTGAGAAAGTCTTGCCAGGTAAAAAATGACTAAAGGGAGGAAGGTGAGATTTCAGGAAGATTTGGGGGGAAAGGGACATGGTGATGGCAATGAGGAATGGCTAGGCCAGAGCCAGAGTTCTCCATACCCAGGCCAGGTACTGAAATGTTCTGGAAAGACTCTCTGCTTCTTCCATCATAGCCAAGTTGTTGAGTAAACCACTGAAAATCATCTTTAACCATTTTACAGAATTATTGCACAGCTGGGATCCTTAGGTTTAATGGTAGTCTTCAAGCGGTTTCAGCATGACCAAATGACTTCTACCCTCTCTACCATCATCAAAACAGCTATTTTCTTGTAGAATTCAACTCAACAAATATTTTTTGAGTACTTGTTACATGCCAAATTCTATGTTAAGTTTGAGGATTAGGAAGAGAGAGAACATTCAATTTGGGAAATCAAGGAAGACTGGAAAACACAGCATTTGAGATGACCCTTGAATAATGGATAGACCAATTGATCTCAAAATATCGTCCCTGGACCAGAAATATGTCTCAGTAGGAAACTAGTTAGAAATGCACATTCATGAGCACCATCCCAACTTACCAAATCAGAAACTCTAAGGGGTGGTGGGGCCCAGAAACCTGTGTTTTTAATAAGCCATCCAGGTGATTCTGATGCATAGTGAAGTCTGAGAACCACTGATCTAGGTAGGGTTCTGACAGGAGGATATCAGTTTCAGACAAAAAGATTCAACCTAGCACATACACCAGACTACCCACTGTTATTTCCTGCTCATCCTTCCTCTGTTTACTCTGCCCTGCCTGCTCTCGCTCTGCTTCCAGCTAATTATTACTCTTTATAAATGCTTCCCTCCTTTATTGGTTCCTCCTCACTATATTCCTGTCAGAACCCTAATCTTATTATCCTCTCTAGTCACTTTCATTTGCTTTTACCCTCACTTACCACCTCTGTTGCAGGCCTCTGTATGCTTCTTCCAAACATTTACCTCCCTCCTCATTCCCCATCTCTGTTCTCCAATCTCTTGTCTATCCCTCTTAATTTTTCTTGGCATATCTACAGTCCCCATTTACCATTCTGCCTTTCCACAGGATTTCCAGGTAGCCCCTCAATCCACACTTAATCTCACTTCTTAATCCACTCCTAAACACTATATTCTGCTGCTCTCTTTCAAACTGGCCTCTTCTGAATTTCTTCCCTATATTATGAATCTATGCTAGTACCAAAAATAAGATAGTACTAGGTATCTCATTTGTATTGTATGTGACTTCTCACTATAGCATATTTTATAATGTTTACATGTTCTTTTTTTCCATAGGCTTTTTTCTTCTCAATCTAAAACAGAACCTATTTGTGTAATGTTTGTTATAGGTGATAAAACCAGGACTAAGCATCAAGAGTTGACCCAGAAAGAGGATATGCCCAAAAACATGGAGACCCTTGGGGAGATAAACAACAGATTTGATGGAGCCATTCCTCAGCATCCTGAATCCAATGATGCTCCTGAAAGTGGGAGCAGATTACAGTGGCAACAAAGGGAAAGAAGACGATATAAATGTGATGAATGTGGAAAAAGTTTCAGTCATAGCTCAGACCTTAGTAAACACAGGAGAACTCACACCGGAGAGAAGCCCTATAAATGTGATATGTGTGGAAAAGCCTTCATTCAGCGCTCACATCTTATTGGACATCATAGAGTACACACTGGAGTAAAACCCTATAAATGCAAAGAATGTGGAAAAGATTTCAGTGGGCGCACAGGTCTTATTCAGCATCAGAGAATCCACACAGGTGAAAAACCTTATGAATGTGATGAGTGTGGGAGGCCTTTCCGCGTGAGTTCAGCCCTTATTCGACATCACAGAATTCATACAACAAACAAACTCTATTAATATGCTGAAAGTACAAAAATTCCTTCAGATGCTCTGGCCTAATTAGTTATCAGAGAATATCTTAGAGGCTTTATGAGTATCCTGAATGTGGGCAAAATTTAAATCATTATTAAAAATTTCTGTGGTACCAGAGAATATAATTAAATAAAATTAAAATTAAATAATTAAAAATTTAATTTTAATTAAAATTAAATAAAACCCTTTATTTCTAAATTAGTTCAGTTTGGGGAAGAAGTAACAGTTATCCTTTCAGAATGCCTAGTCAACTGACGATGCTACTCACTTGCAGCCCAAGAGAGCCATGTTTCCTGGTTGAAAGATAGTTGAGTTCCAACTTGCTCTGCCCTAGCTCCTTTTCATCTGACTACCTATTGAATGGCTTTAAGCAAGACTTTTCACATCTTTCTCTGCTTTCATTTCCCCTTCTATGAAGTAACAAATAGAGGCCTACCATGTATGTTAAGGAGCTCTGGTGGTGTAGTGCCTTAGCATTTGACTGCTAACTAGAAGGTTGGGTGGTTCAAAGCTACAACCACTCCATGGAAGGAAGACTGGGCAATCTACTTCCATAAAGATTTACTGCCTCAGAAACCCAAAGGGGGTCACTGTGAGTTGGAATCGAGTCAATGGCAGTGAGTTTGTTTTTTTGTTGTTGTTTTTTTTTTTTTGGTTACCAGGTATGTTAAGAGTATAAATTAAAATAGATGTAAAAACTGCTTTTGAAATTACAAACTAAAACAATGCTAATTATTTATTTTCCATCATTACTGACTATCTTGTTATCTAGTGCTGCCTTAACAGAGATACCACAAGTAGGGGGTTTTAACAAACAAATTTATTTTCTCACAGTTAAGGAGGCTAGAAGTTCAAGTTCAGGGCACCAACTTCAGAAGGCAGGGAAAGTTCCTTGTCTCTTTGCAGTTTCTGGTCCTCGATTCCTTGCTGATCTTCACGTGGTGAAGCATCTGTCTTCCCCCATCTGTGCTTACTTGCTTCTGTGCCTGATCTGGTCCTTTTATATCTCAACAGTGATAGGTTTAAACCACACCCTAACTGATATGGCCTATTAACCTAACAAAAGAAAACCTTACTCCCAAATGGAATTATATCCACAGGTTTAGGGATAAGGCTTTTCAACACATTTTGGGAATACACAATTCAATCCCTAACACTGATAAAATGGTCTAAATATTCCCTTTTTATCTGAAAGGGGGGGTCATTTTGTGGGAAATTTTTGCTTTGCCGATGATAAACAAGAGGAGGCTATTAGAAAAGATAGTAAACTTAGGAAAACATTAACATGCAAAGGAAAGCAGTAAGTGAGCAGGAGCTGTTAGGGATCTATAACTTTGGATAAATCACTTCCCTTTTGGGTTTTAGGTCATTGTAAACAGAAGGGGAGAGGTTGATCTAATAGCCTTATGGGGGTATTTAAATCTAAACTTAAATGAATTCAAATGAAATAAAATGAAAAATCCAGTTCCTCGGTCACATAAACCAAATAGCCACATCAGGACAGCTACCCTGGACAGCACAGACAGAAACCATTTATTTCTATGAAGTTTCTAATGGACATTGCTGGTCTAAATCGATTACTGGTAAGGTACCTTCCAGCCTTGACATTATGTTATTCTGAATTCAGAAAAGCAACTAAAGACACTCCTGAGGAGGCTACGATAACAATAGGAGATAAAATGCAAACATCTGAAAAGAAAATAATTTAGTAATGATAACTTTATGACATTTTTCAGCCTTAAAAAGAGAAGTGTACTATAATTGAAGGAAAATTATTATTAAAGGAGATACCATGATCTAATATAAATTGAACACTTAAATTATCACCTAAAAAAAAAAACCAAACTCACTGCTGTC